TTTATTGAGTTTTTACATAAAACAAGATACAATATATAAAATACAATGTGAAACGTCAGTGCTACATTACTAAAGTTTCTCAAGACCGGGTACAGTATTACAAAGAAATGTCCAAGTATCTGCTCCGAAGACATCTTCGAGTTCAATACAAAACATCCAAATGCACAAGTATGACCTTCTATATTTATTATATACCCTCTTATCTTGCATTAATCTGTTACTTTGGAGATTTGGAAGCTTTGGAGAAAGTAGAACCGGCAGGGGTTTAATACGAAATCTAGGGTGCAGTACAGAATTTGACCACGTCATCCGTATTGCACCCTTGTATTACTATCCAAAGATTACATGGGCATATAATAAATAGGCATTATTGTTATAATCACCACTATGGAATGTCATACCAAAATCGCCAATATTTTAACGTAGGACGTCAATAGTTTACATGTGGGGTGTCAATTGGCCGTCGTTGGCATCGCATTTGAAACCTATATGGGTAAAACTAATCGAGGTTTCTGAAACTGTCAAGTCCATAATCATTGTTAAGAGCGCCAGGCTGTTGATGTGCAATGTTGCCTGACCTGGTGAAAACATAGCTGAGATTGAAAGGTTAAAATATGCGCCTCAGTTCAGCAGTGATTGAGGTAGGCATAACGCAGCTTGTAGCAATATACCGGCAACATCACGGCGGGGGACACTGAATGGGCTCCACACATTGTACACATGTGGGAATTGAACCCCGGATTTTGGTGTGACGAGCGAACGCTTTAACCACTAGGCTATCCCTACATAGCATGAGTCCTCAAAGAAATGCTGGGTTCGAGCCAAATGTCTGAGGGGGACTCTGTCGCAGCTGTCAACATGGATCGTCGACTACCTCAAGCAACTTCTGATATGATCAGGGCCTCCTTTCACAAAGCACTTAGGTGATCGTAAGTCACTAAGGTAACCTTAGTGCAAGATTAAAGAATGGGAGTTAGGTTAACCTTAGTAAAGGTTGCTTCGTGAAGGGAGCCCCTGGTCTGACTGGTCACGGTTGACTGATGGCTTGAGATGACACTGTGAAACCTGCAGATTCGATGTAATTCGTCCTACCATCATCATGAAGACCCTGATGGTGTTGAACAGGCCCCACATGCACCGAAAGAAAAGATCACAACTATTCGTTCAAGTTATCCTCATTCTCCCATTGACCAAAATAACTGCTCGGTTATACACAATGACGTAAGAGGCGACTAACGGGATCGGGTGGTCAGGCTCGCTGACTTGGTTGACACATTTCATGAGTGCGGCGTAAAACTAAGCTCACTCACTCACTTACTCTCGCACAATTACTCACACGCACATGTCTTGGTTGAAGAGATACACATTTATTATCTTCTTGGCACACAAAAGTGAAACGTTCGTAAAATATTTAGCTACGTACAGGATATTCGCTGCTGTCGATTTCCAGCCTCCCTGTGTGGTTTATGAACTTGAAGATCAACACGCCTTCAGGTTTCCTACATGTTTCCTTCCTCGAGATGAGGGGCGGTGGTTTAGCCTAGCGGTTAAAGTGTTCGCTCGTCACGCTGAAGACCCGGATTCGATTCCCCACATCGTGAAGCCCATATCTGAGGGATGGAGTTTAGTTTTACGCCACATTCAGCAATATTCCAGCTATATGGCGGCGGTCTGTAAATAATCGAGTCTGGATCAGATAATACATTGATCAACAGCATGAGCATCGATCTGCGCAAATGGGAGAAGCCCATTTCTGTTGACACATACAGCATACAGTGGAACTTGTCACAAAGTGACACCTCTCAGTTGCCACGACTCGATAATCCGGAGATGTGTTAATCAACACAATGTTTCCAGGGTTTATTTTTTAAATTGTATATGTTCCTAGTACAGTTTAGTCTACGAAATATAAAAGGGATTCGCCAGTTTCTGTGTCGAATTTCAAGCATTTTTCGTTGTTGTCCGCCACACTCAGAAATATTCCAGCTATAAATAACCCGTGAAGGTCCGGGTTAGAATGAACCTTCAGCAACCCATGCTTGTCGTAAGAGGCGACTAACGGGATCGGGTGGTCAGGCTCGCTGACTTGGTTGACACATGTCATCGTATCCCAAATTGTGAAGATCGAAAACAATGCTGTTGATCACTGCAATTGTAGTGGTACTATTGATATGGGATTTGAAGTTATTTGCGAAAGCGATAGTTTATTGCAGTAGTAGTATTGATATGTAACTCATTTGAAGTTAGATTTCCCAAATGAATGTGATGAGTTTAGTTTATGTGAAATATACATAAGTTGAAGTAGTTTCAGTCTCTTACTAACTGACAAGAAACTCGAAACCTAGATAAAGTAAACAGTTAAAACATAAACTCAATGAAGCTGCAAGTCTGCACCCATACACCATGTATTTTGCGCTGCGCGTTTATCAACGGAAGTCAATTACTAAACTATCGATAGGCACACATATACCATCGATGCATCGATAGTGTTCGTTTCTACCATCGACTAATTTCTATCGGAGACTCAACAATTGCAATCCATCGATAGTTCGATGCATCGTTACAGACCTCCAGACTGGATTATTTACAGACCGCCGCCATATACAGTCCGTTTGAGTCAGAAACGGACCGATGAATTTGCAAATTTTATCATTGTAAAAAATTGCCACATAAATATAAATAGTACACATGTTTATCATTTACTAATACCCAACAGCTTTCTAATATTTGAAAATTTTCCGGACTCCACCAAAAAAGTTGTTTAAGAAACTATCATCATTGAAAACGCAAAAGTTGTTATCTGTCGCGGCGGGGTGAAACCGCAGAAACGGAACAGCCAGTCATGGCGGGGGACATCTCAAAATCTATTCAGGGAGACCTGTCGGTTCCTCGTCCGTCGTAGTGTCATAGTCACGACTTAAAGGGATGACAAGTGGTGCCACAGTTGCCTGTTGTAAGCCATCCCGAGACCAGTAACCTTGTTCAATGACGTTAGCTACCTTGTTGACACAGTTTTGCCAAGTTTCAGTAGTGTGATTTTGTTAAGGGATTCTGGCAACATCTCCTTTGAAAATACCCCATATCATTTCAATGGGGTTAAGGTCACAGTGATAGGGTGGAAGTCGCAGAATATTGTGACCCTTACTTTTTATGTAACTGTCAACTTTGTAGAAAGGTTCACCTTTGTGAGTTTTTATGATCTCATATAGCTGAGGCTTCGTTGCCTTTGAAGGCCGTGCGATCTGAAATTTGTCGAGCCATGATATCATATCACCTTTTCGACTGTTCGATGTGGAGGCTTTACTGTCCGGGTCCTGTGGTATGGGGCATTGTCCATTGCGATAAAAGAATTCTCTGGTAGAGCTGGTACCAACTTGTTTTTAACCCAATCGAGGAAAACCGCACCATTCATCTCGGAATGGTAGTCTCTGTTATCTGTGGACTTTGCCCTGAATACCAAGTCGCAGCCTGGGAGAAAGCCTTTGCTGGAGCAACCAGCATGGAGAATGATTAGTCTCTCTCCTTTCCCAAGAGGCAGCTTTCTACGTGACCCCTTATCACCCCCATCGGGTACCCACTGACTGCTGGCAGTGTGCGAGGCATTGACCCAGGTCTCGTCCAAGTACACTGGCTCGAACCCTTCCTCGCGCTTCTTCTTTATAACCCTGAGAAAATTATTTCTCAAGCGAACGATATCAGGGCGTTCACAGAGTACTGACCTATTCTCCCCCGAAATTTTCTTATAACGATACCCGAAAGAGTGTAAGAGTCGCCAGAGTGTGTACTTTGATACTCTGAGGTTGTGTTCTTGCTTCAAATGCTTTTTTAAAATTGTCAGGGACATGTTTTTGTTTTCAGAATAGAGCTTGTTGATAGACTGCCTTACAAGTTTCTTTTGAAAGTTGTCCAAATGTTTTAATTTGTGTGATTTTGACACGACCCCTACCTGCTTCGCATCACCCTCACAATGTTTGTGTTCCAGAACATTTGTCAGTACCCTTGCTGATACTCCTAAAGCTTTTGTTGCCCGCTTACGGAATTTATTAATGGCATAAAATGGTTTCCCCCTTTCGGCTTCAGCACGGAACAAATCGTACACTTTAATCATCAACTGTTTCACGTCAGCATTCAACTTCATTTTTCATCAGGCATGTGTATCCCGTGCACGACGAGATAGTGGCTGTTCCATTTCTGCGGTTTCACCCCGCCGCGACAGATAACAACTTTTGCGTTTTCAATGATGATAGTTTCTTAAACAACTTTTTTGGTGGAGTCCGGAAAATTTTCAAATATTAGAAAGCTGTTGGGTATTAGTAAATGATCAACATGTGTACTATTTATATTTATGTGGCAATTTTGTACACTGATAAAATTTGCAATTCATCGGTCCGTTTCTGACTCAAACGGACTGTAGCTGTAATATTGCTGAGTGCGGCGTAAAACTAAACTCACTCGCTCTGAAGTTTAGCATACAAATGGAAAATAAATACATGGACAAAAATAACTTCACCGTACTGACAAAATCAGTTTATGAACAGAAACATTATCAACCTAACAACATTGACTAAGTGCTTTGTTATGGTTTTCTTAAAATAGGTTTTGCTTGTACATATATGACAACAACATAGGCTATTACCAGTGTCTAATAATTCCATGACTTGCGGTAAAAACGGTATATTAGAGCATCAAACGCAGGACTATATCTACAGAAAATCGGCATACCCAGGCGAGCCGGGTGTCTAACCTTGTCTCGAACTCGTGATTGGCATAATTTGTAGACCTGACTTCATGTACAGGTCCACCGTCGACGCTACCCGTCGCCTCAACCTGGGTTGACCTCGAAGTGAAGGGCTAACCGTGGCAGAGCGATTAAGGAGGATTAAACTGAAAGCGCTTTAGTTGGAGAGCGTGAATAGGCTAATGCAGGACAATTGAAAGCGGTTTACGAGAGGTGTGTCACAGCTGGAGGGTATGTGCGGAGATACCAAGTCGGACTTCGGTGCACGTAACATGCTTAGTGACGGTGTGAGTGGGTAGCAGACGACAGTTGCAGCAGACGACATATGAAGGACTGTACTCTCTGGACGACATTTTCGTGATTCACAGGGGATATACGACACCCATTCTGGATTATTTATAACTCGTACTTGTGAAGACTCACAATGTATGTCATTGTACGCTATGGAGGTAAGTTATTCCAGTCTTTGACGTTCATATTATATCTGTAGAGGAGTACGTCCCCATGTTCTCTACAAAAACAGAGCTATACATGCAATTTACTCAGTACTAACTTTGATTTAGACTTCACAGGCCTCAAATCTATGAATAGATGTTTGACAATGTCTGAATAGTATACAATAAGTTGGATACACCAAGAGTGAGTGAGTTTAGTTTTACACCGCTTTAAGCGATATTCCATCAATATCACGGCGGGGATACCAGAAATGACTTTACACGTTGTACCCATGTGGGGAATCGAACCCGGGCCTTTGGCGTGAGGAGCGAACGCTTTAACCACTAAGCTACCTCAATACCCATGAAGATCCGGGTTAGAATTGATCTTCAATAAATCATGCCTGTCGTAAGAGACGACTAACGGGATCGGGTGGTCAGGCTCTCTGACTTGGTTGACACGTCATCGAATCCCATTTGTGTAGATCGATGCTTATGCTGTTAATCACTGGATTGTCTGATCCAGACTCGATTATTTACAGACCACCGCCTTATAGCTGGCATATTGTTGTGTACGCCGTAAAACTAATCTCACTCACTCTCTCGTATGCCTTGAACCAGCGTGTTACATATATAGTATACAGTGTCCCTTAACCATTTCATCCCGTTGCGGATGCCTAAAACATATTAGAGAGACTAGCTTCTGTAATATTTACAAAAGTTACCTTACATAAAAGGTATCAAATACTGAAAATATACACCCGTGAGAGGCGAGATTACATGCATAATATGAACGAGTATCTCTCAAGAGATGACGTGCAGTTACGTCTCAAGGAACATGGAGTTGCAGTTCCACAGTATACAATAATAGGCAGAGTGAAGTGTGAACATTCAAGTGTATATTATCTTTTGTCGGGTAGTGTATATGAAATTAAAGGAGTGGTGCTTAACTTTTTTCCAGGTGTATTTACAAACCTCTACTTAACTAAATACAGCCATTAGTGTAATTGTTAGTGAAACCTATAAGCGGCTCCAATCGACTGTAATCACGGTAAGGCGATTGCGTTTTTAAACACATTTCATTCAAAAGGCAAAAGAGGCTTTTTATGCGTCCACCTGAGGCGGCCATATTGGATTATGATGGTAATCTCATTCTCGATTACGTGTCCTAACTATTTGAGAACTTTCATGCATTTGAAAATGAAAACAATAAACAATCAAAACATTTAACGGCGTTTATTATTATAAAAATGCCAAAGAGATGTGGCTAAAAGGTTTGGAGCCTTACCGCGAAGGATATAGTACAAGCTCAACAGTTCACATATACTGGGGGAAACAAATGAGTGGACAGTACTTCATGGCACTTCCTTTATCTATTTTCAGATTTCTTCCCACAGCGTTATTCAAATCTGGTGATGAAAAGTGAAAAATGTTAAGGGAACACTTGAATTTTCCTATGTTCCTTTGTTTCCCTCAGTATATATTAAGTGCTTACTGGAAGCATTTGAACCAAATGCACAGTTAAGCGGCATTTTCCTGTAGGCATGAAAAGTCATCAGTTACGCACTGCTGATGAAAATGGACTTGTTTGGCTACCGCGCTGGCATCAAGTATTTTCCAAATCCCAAACCCATCTATTCAGACAGGGTCAACTTCAGGGATGATGCTCCTTCCGTTGAGCGAAAGTGTAAAAGAAAATACTTTGAAGATAATTCCAGATCACGAAGACCACCAACTGCCATGACTGTAAAATGTTTATGATTGTGGCTGATCGACTCACCACATTTCGCACAGCCAATACAGCTTATTGCATGGCATCTAGTTCTGGTTCCAGAGCCTCTGACTGTTGATCAGAAACGCTACAGGTTCGTCATCTCTTGAGACTTTACTTTTGAAGCTATTCTGGTTTCAGAAATTCTTACTGTTGATCAGAAACGCTACAGGTTCATTTCCCATGAGACTTCACTAAAAAGGTCTTCGTTTTGAAGCAATTCTCGTTTCAGAGCTTCTGACTCTACACATAGTGAGTGATTATGGTTTTACGCCGCCTTCAGCAATGTTCCAGTAATACCAGAACGGGGGACACCAGAAATGGACTTCACACATTGTACCCATGTGGGGAGTCGAACCTGGTCTTAGGCGTGACGAGCGAACGCTTTAACCACTATCTCACCGCACGATAAGGAAAGAGCGGCTCTGACCACGCTGTCATATATCTCAACATGTCCTTTCTGAAAACACCTACTAGGGATCTCTCTTAGGATCTGAAAGATCGAGTCCATGCAGGTAGCAAAGGCACTGTAAGTCCCCGTGGTCCTTGTATGGTGATCTACCTTCAGTTGTTGGCGATCTATAGCCCATTTTTACATTGTATTGTCCAGAAATAATTTTCTACTTTTAAAGATATATGCTAGCTAGTTTTAACTCAATCTGCGATAATCTAGTGGTTTTACTGTCCTTCATTGACAGGGTTTTATATATTATATGTATGTATTATAAATTTAGAACTAGTTTTAGTCACGATATGGCTGAAATATTGCCGATGTGACTTTAAATCTTAACTCACTCACTCACTCTGAAAGATCGACAAGGATATAATGCTACCATTTGGCAAGCCTCGACAACAAGTCGCTACCTTAAACACGTATAATTGACAAAGACCAGCTGGGCTATTACAGTTATATTGTTCCGCTGTTTACGACACTAGCAATAATTTCTTTATGAATACGTTGTACCTAGTCGCACTGATTCCCTATCAATACCAGCCCCGTACAAGCATTGTGTTGACTGTTTAGTAAACTTGTGTATGTTTATCAATGAATATATCAAGTTTGTATTGATCTAAACGCCAGCTGTATACCGTTATATGTCACTGTTATCGCTTGTACCCTGGATACATGTCAGTTGAAATAATTCTATGATCTATTCATCATGAGAATGTATAGCTTAGACCACGAGGATCTGATGACATTGAAATGGTCAGCTATACCTGGCGGCGAGTGAGCTTAGTGTTTGGCCAGTGAGTGAGTGAGTGAGTGAGTGCGTGAGAGTGACATTGGGAAACTCCACGATCAGCTTCGAAAACACACGTATGATGCACGGGAAACGTGTTCTCTGTCAACGACAGAGTAGAAATGTTGTGATCTATTCTATTCTATGATCTATTCATGAGTCATGTGTTATGTAAATCGTAGGAAATCTTACATTAATAACGGGCATTCTCGCACACTGAATGCAAAATTAAGTATTCCTACCCCAAGATTCCAACAGTCTCCTCCGACGCAGTCTTCCTTTGAAAGACATCATGTCGCCTTGATTCCTCACCCTGTGTCTGTTTTACGTCCTGTTGTGTTTCCGCGGAAGACTTAGTCAAGGTATTCTGTCTTTCATTCGCCCCTCCTTTACCTAAGTTCTGTCAGTTATGTAACTCGCTGTGTTCTTACCTCAGGTGGGGCGTAGGGGTAGCCTAGTGGTTAAGGTGTTCGCTCGTCACGCCGAACACCCGGGTTCGATTCCACACATGGGTACAATGTGTGAAGCCCATTTCTGGTGTCCCTTTCCGTGATATTGCTTGAATATTGCTAAACGCGGCGTAAAACCCAACTCACTCTAACCTCAGGTGTTCCGTCATTTGAATTACTGACCCTGTCCTCTGTCAAAGGTGTTGTGTCATTTGACGTACTCACCATGCGCTTTCCCAAGGTGCCCCGTCATTTAAATTACTGGATTCGGCCTCGGCTTAAAGTGTTCTGCTACACGAATTACTCATCCAGTTCTTTCCTATTTTGTTCATTCAAATTACACAAACTGCCCTGAACTGTTCATTATTTGAGTCACTCGCCCAGTTCTTAGAGTTACTGTCATTTTACCTTTAAAGGCGATTCCCATTACATTACTCTGAATGTTTTACCACAATATCTCTGAATGTTTTACCACAACAACTTTAACTGTTTTACCACAATATCTCTGACTGTTTTACCACAATATATCTGACTGTTTTACCACTATATATCTGACTGTTTTACCACAATATATCTGACTGTTTTACCACAATATCTCTGAATGTTTTACCACAATATCTCTGACTGTTTTACCACAATATCTCTGAATGTTTTACCACAATATCTCTGAATGTTTTACCACAATATCTCTGACTGTTTTACCACAATATCTCTGTTTTACCACAATATCTATAAATGTCTTCGGAGAGTTACAAGGATATTCCCCGACTTAAAACACATCCCTACTCTACCTTTTGACATCCCAACATGTAACATGCTTTTAAAGATCAGCTTGCGACAACAACGACAATCAGCTATCCGTTCCAGAAAGACTGACGTCACAGAGGTGTTTTATACAATTCCCAAGCGCCGCTTTTAGCAATATTCCAGCAATATCACTGCGTTGGACACCAGAAATGGGCTTCACAGATTGTACCCATGTGGGGAATCGAACCCGGGTCTTCAGCGTGACGAGCGAACGCTTTAACCACTAGGCTACCCCACCGCCCCAGGCAACAAAGAAGTAGTGGCTGAGTTAATGCTCTGTTAATACAGTGAGAGTACGTGACTGTGAGCTAATAGCCCAGTCTGCTATTTTGAAAAAACGTTCCAAGCTTCTCTTCATGCCTCTATGCTGTCTCCATGTCTGCAACGCATGTGCAGTAAGACAAAGTACAATACCGTTTAGTCACGTGACTTCGGTCAAGTTACGACAGCTGAAGAATTAATCCTTTCGACACACGAATACCGTATTCGTTGAATTGATTAGTACTATCAACCCCTATCTTTTTCGTCGGATTTGGCGTTTCTACGATACACGTTTTCACATTCCCGTGTGGATGTGACCTTTATTTTCAGAAGAGGCATTCGTGAGATTAATTTCACTTCAGACTTCACTTCAACTGAGGTGTGGTAAAAACGTTAAGCAAGAAAGCTTAATTACCTGCATCTGCTGTACCCAATACACACGTCCATTCAGTGATTGTAGAATACATAAAACTCAAGTACATAAAAGGGTACTTCGAAAAGCCCCTCATATCCTGTGTCAGAGGGTGTCTCAAGCTGGCAAATATTGGACGTAAAAAGGCAGTCTAATCAAACTGCACTGGCTGATATACATGCACGCACACAGACACGAAAGCACGTTCACACAAACGCACACCATCACCAGCACCAACATCACCAGCATCACCAACATCAGCACCATCACCAACATCACCACCACCAATATCACCACCACCAACATCACCACCAACAACAACAACTACAACAACAGCAGCATGACCCACCGCCCCTTTCCAAACGTCTTACGTGTCAGATTTATTTCAGTTCCTAGATGAAAGGCAAATGTTTTCGTTTTTTCGCTGTCATGGCTAATGTTCGTTGTGAGGCACACTCACTTGTCACCTCAGTGCATAGTTGCCTTCCTTTGTTTGACCCGCTTTCTATAGTCTTGGATTCGAACTCCAAGATTTGACCTGTGTAAGATACAGGTTTCTCGGCACCTGGTATTTGCCTAAGATCTGTCACACTTAAAGCCTTGCTTCCGCATAATCTCACGACCCATGACAGAAAGGAACTACTGTTTAAAGAGCCCTAAATCAAAACTCACTTTACGGCTCTTCATCCAGGCACCACTAAAAGGATGAGATCTGAGTGCTACGGTTATCCCAAAGGTTGAACATAGACTTACAACAGTTGTTACGATAAGATCGATTACGTGCAAGTGGACCCATGCCGCCGATAATCCAGTTTGCGTTATTCGCCTGTATAGAAACGTTACATTTTCAGATCGACAACAGCACATCTTCAACCCCAACTGCCGGAGCAGCACCTTGCTGAGGAGCATCAGAGACAAGTGTTCCTGTGGAGATGCTGGTATGTAACACTGAAACGCATTGAAAGAATGGGAACAGAACATTATTCCGAAACCTGAAAGATCTCTACCATAAGTATCGACATATGTGACGATGCTATGTAGCCAGCAAATGGGAATCCCCTCAATGGTATTTAGGAACTACTAAAACTAGACTGAGGAGTGACAATATCTTAACGCGCAAGGTGTTCTTATTATATGTTTGATATTCATTAAAAATTGATTTAACTTTGCGATATTATATTTTAAAAAAATGAACTTACAGGCATTTCGTTAGCTCTCAGACCCCTTCAGCCTATGTATGTGTATTGTATGTACTCTTGTAGAACCATCGTGTTCCAAAGTAAAAGTCGATAGCCTTTCATCTTTGGAGTAATTCCTTGTGAAAATTACACGTATGTATGAAATTGTTGATAAAAGAATAGAATGTATCAAATATATTTTATGTTGTTAGATGGCCACATAAAGACTCTCGATGCCATTACATCAAAACATTTTTACATAATTAGATTAAGCTAAACTAAGAAATGAAAAACGATAAAAAATGAATAGTGTTTATATACCAACATGTTTTGCGTTCTTTTTGACATATTTAACAGTCTGGCGTCACATGGCATTGTCTCGCCTTGTTTATAACAAAGTTTCGCAGAGGTCATAAGGTAATGTGTTTATAAGGTTTGAGGTGCTGAATTTAAAAGAAAGGCCGTGGTATTTTGAAGGATAAGATCGAATCCTCCTTGTAAGACGATAACATTAACAGCATTTATGAAAAATAGTGAGTAAGTGAGTGAGTGTGGTTTAACGCCGCTTTTAGCAATAGTCCAGCAGTATCACGGCAGGGGACACCAGAAAAAAGCGTCACACATTGTACCCATGTGTATAATCGAACCGGGGTCTTCAGTTTCACGTGCGGACGCATTAACCATTAGGCTAACCTACTGCTCCTATATGTAAAATAGAAATATGACTAAAAATAATGAATGTATGTTATTTACGGCGGTCTCAATATAATTGCATCATAAATTACTATCTATGATTGGCCACGAATTTGAAGTGAAATTCACCTTTGTATTGGCGAAATGACTTTAGCATTAAGAAAGAACAATATCATAGTGAGTTGGTATGGCTGGCGTCCGCCTCGAGGAAGGACGCTCTCATGTGTGAATCACCAGCACGCGATAAGGACAGGACACCTACAAGTACTAGAGATATGTTTACTGTAGATAAGTCCATAGTATATATGGTCTGTCATGTCAGCTGCACAAAGAAACACACTTTCTGTACTGAAGTGGGTGTACAGAGTGAGTGAGATAAGTTTTACGCCGCTATAAGCAATATTCCAGCAACATCACTTGGTTGACACCAGAAATGGGCTTGACGCATTGTACCTATGTGGGGTTTGGTCGAAGGTCTGTGAGACAGACCAGCCTGCGTTAATTGGATCCGTTTTCTATAATAATTCAGTTTAAACGTTGCTCAAAGATCTGCCAGAACCATCTTTTATAATACAGTTGTGTTCATTAGTTTTACCACAATGAATCTGTTTTGGCCACAATAACCCTAACTGTTCTACCATAACATCTTACCACAATAACTCTGGATATTTTACCACAATAACTCTGGATATTTTACCACAATAACTCTTACTGTTCTACCACAATAACTCTTACTGTTCTACCACAATAACTCTTACTGTTCTACCACAATAACTCTTACTGTTCTACCACAATAACTCTTACTGTTCTACCACAATAACTCTTACTGTTCTACCACAATAACTCTTACTGTTCTACCACAATAACTCTTACTGTTCTACCACAATAACTCTGACTGTTCTACCACAATAACTCTGACTGCTCTTCCACAATAACTCTGACAGCTCTTCCACAATAACTCTGACTGCTCTACCATAATATTTTACCACAATAACTCTGACTGTTCTACCATAATATTTTACCACAATAACTCTGACTGCTCTACCATAATATTTTACCACAATAACTCTGACTGCTCTACCATAATATTTTACCACAATAACTCTGACTGTTCTACCACAATAACTATGACTGTTCTACCAAAATATATTACCACAATAACTCTGGATATTTTACCACAATAACTCTGACTGTTTCACCACAATAACTCTGACTGCTCTACCATAATATTTTACCACGATAACTCTGACTGTTCTACCATAATATTTTACCCACAATAACTCTGGACAATAACTCTGACTTACCATAATATTTTACCACAATAACTCTGACTATTTTTTTCACCACAATAACTCTGACTGCTCTACCATAATATTTTACCACAATAACTGTTTCACCACTGACTGTTCTACCCACAATAACTCTGACTGTTCTACCATAATATTTTACCACAATAACTCTGGATATTTTACCACAATATCTCTGTTTCACCACAATAACTCTGACTGTTCTACCATAATATTTTACCACAATAACTCTGACTGCTCTACCATAATATTTTACCACAATAACTCTGACTGCTCTACCATAATATTTTACCACAATAACTCTGACTGTTCTACCACAATAACTATGACTGTTCTACCAAAATATATTACCACAATAACTCTGGATATTTTACCACAATAACTCTGACTGTTTCACCACAATAACTCTGACTGTTCTACCATAATATTTTACCACAATAACTCTGGATATTTTACCACAATAACTCTGACTGTTTCACCACAATAACTCTGACTGCTCTACCATAATATTTTACCACGATAACTCTGACTGTTCTACCACAATAACTATGACTGTTCTACCAAAATATATTACCACAATAACTCTGGATATTTTACCACAATATCTCTGTTTCACCACAATAACTCTGACTGTTCTACCATAATATTTTACCACAATAACTCTGGATATTTTACCACAATAACTCTGGATATTTTACCACAATAACTCTGACTGTTTCACCACAATAACTCTGACTGCTCTACCATAATATTTTACCACAATAACTCTGACTGCTCTTCCACAATAACTCTGACTGTTCTACCACAATAACTCTGACTCTTCTACCATAATATTTTACCACAATATCATTGAATGTTTTACCACAATACCTTTGAATGTTTTACTCAGCAGCGGAGGATATCGAGCTGTCAGACGAGTGCGGGAACATCAAATACCTCCGTGATGCACACAACAGATACGCTAATGAAGTACTCGGGGAACGCGAAACGCTCGTGCTACTCCGAGTGGACGGTGAGTTGGCCGGTTTCCTGTATGTGTGACTGACGAAAGATCCAAGTCTTGTAGATTCGTTTTGGTGAAAACCAGTTAAGGTAACCTAAAACATGATCAAGGAGAACGTCACTTATATATATGAAGGAAAATGGGAACAACCTATTACGTTAATGCAGCATAATAATTAATCTCTTCGATCAACAAAGTCATTAATAACTAAATGAACAGAGCTTAAATAAATTCTAGCAACATCACGAAGAAGCGTACAAACACAGAGTTCCTATAAATGGAAACCATATTGATGTAATTCTCAAACTAATGGGGGCGGTGTGGTATCCTAGTGGTTAAAGTGTTCGCTCGTCACGCCGAATGGATACAATGCGTGAAGCCCATTTCTGGTGTTCCGCGTGGTGATATTACTCGAATATTGGTAAAAGCATCGTTAACTGATTCTTCTCAGAAGTCACTTAAAATCAGATAGGTTTTCTTTTTCTGCTTTTGTAGAACTGTGTATGTATGACTACTAGCGCTGCGCAATATAACCGGTTTACCGGTATTTACCGGTTCAGACATGAAAACGATACGTATTGCGATACGCTGATCGAAAGCCGGTATTTTGACATGCATTCGGAAAACTTCGCAACACTCGGAAATCTTCGGATATTTCCGTTTTTTTAAATTATTCCTTTCCTTGTTTTATTTGTGACAAATAGTATTTACATTTTTATTTTGTCATGATTGAAAGTTTTAATTAAAGTTTAATCAAGGATAGTGATTTTGTTGTGTTTTTGCTTTATAAATCAAGCAATAACTCGATTATAAGTAGTTTCTTGTTCCCGATTTGTGTATTTCTGCTGCAGGTACAGAACAACCATATCCCCGCTACACCCCCCTTCTGAAGGATGAAGAGGCCATCACGGAGGAGTTCTTAGGTGAGGGGGGCGGTGGGGTAGCCTAATGGTTAAAGCGTTGGTTCGTCACGCCGATGACCCGGGTTCGAATCCCCACATGGGCACAATGTGTGAAGCCCATTTCTGGTGTCCCCCGCCGTGATGTTGCTGGAATATTGCTAAACGCGGTGTAAAAACCAAACTCAGTCAGTCAGTCTTAGGTGAGGGGTTTCAGGCTGTCAGACACAAGGTGTGCTCGGGAGGGGAGACAGGGTGTCTTTGCAAATACGTAAGCTGAATAAACGCGCACGCATGCGCGCGCGCGCGCGTGTGTGTGTGTGTGTGTGTGTGTGTGTGTGTGTGTGTGTGTGTGTGTGTGTGTGCGTGCGTGTGCGCGCGCGCGTGTGTGTGTGTATGTGCGCGCGCGCGCGCGTGTGTGTGTATGTGTGCGCGGGCGTGTGTGTGTGTAATAGACTGTCCTCAATACTTCACTTTGACATGCTATATAACATTTATAACAATTGTTGTATTTTCCTAATTGTTATATTCGTCCACACGAACCTTATGTCTCACTGATATCATTTCGATTCCTTCTTAATTTTCTTTTAAAAACGAATAACTTTTATCATTGTATGTTGCGATTTATAGGAAAACAGCATCTTTCACAATATCGTTTGTGGTACTGCAAATATGGTATGAACTAGTCCCTAACCCGCCATATCCAACCAATCACTGCAAAGTGGAAACATCATACCGTTTGTGTTATTGATACCATTGGGTAAAACGTATGTAACAGTTGTGACAGAATTAGTGGAACACTGTTAGAATTGATCTACGGCAACCCGTGCTTGTCGTAAGAGGAGACTAACGGGATCGGGTCGTCAGGTTCGCTGACTTGGTTGACACATGTCATCGGTTCCCAATTGCGTAGATCGATGCTCATGCTGTTGATCACTGGGTTGTCTGGTCCAGACTCGATTATTTACAGACAGCCGACATATAGCTGGAATATAATTGAGTGCGGCGTTAAACAACAAACAAACAAACAAACTACACGTACTGGCAGAAAGTTACTGGTAGTATACAGTGACATACGTTTTCAAAAAACTCGTTTATAACGAACTGACGGATATAACGAACTGGGTATTTTTGTCCAGGATATTGCTGTATAATTTAGTCGAAATACGAATAACAAACTATGGTTTTAACAAACAAATATTACTAGACACTTCAAATTCATTATCGCAGTTATTTACTGTAATGGAAGCTCTATGAAGTAATCAAGTAATGACTTTCTCTGCATTATAGCCCGGCTTGTGATCAAGGATGAGCCCACAAGTCGACCCCAGAGTCTGCGCAAGGGTAAAGGTCGTGGACCTCCATCAGACAAGGAGAAGTCCACCAAAGACAAGGCCAACAAGGACAAATCCCGTCAAACAAAGCATTCGCAGGAGAGGCCCGCGAGATCTCGTTCCAGGCAAGCACGAGAACAATGACGTAGTGTCTACGTCATTTCCGGCAGCTCTAAACAGTATATACGTTACATTACCATTCCACACTCATTTGAAAGACGTGTTTCCACACCAGTTCCACTGTCAGTAGTCTGATGTGGAAAGATAAACATCAGCTGTAAACGTTGAGCCACAGGTAAATTTTTCTCTCTGTTGCGCACCCCTATCTGTGCTACAGTTTGCATGTGGTTGAGCCTTGGTAATGTAATGGTAATGTCCATAAACATGTTGACAGATTCCATGAAATGGAGTCGAAACGTCAATTTGTATGACATCTAAGTATGGCTGAAGGCGTCGTTGTCGGCACAGGTACTACAGATATGTACCCCAGGTACGTTTCTGTATGCACAAATGTACCCTAAACAAAGTCAAAATACAGAAACGTACCCGGTACCCTAGGAGGTGGACGAGTCCATATTCCGCAACCCCAAACCGAAACAGTATGTAGTCCCCATTCAACTGACTGCAAGTGGTATTGTGAACCGTGAAATATTCGTTACTATGTATGGTCGTTTCTTATATAACGCAATCAACTGCATCTAATAAACAATAGTTTCGATCAATAAAACGACACAATACAGAATGAACTGGTCCTGGGATAGTTTCTGTATTCTGAGTTTGACTAGGGTACGTTTTTGTAAACAGAAACGTACCTGGGGTACACATCTGTAGTACCCGTGCCGACAACGACCCCTTCAGCTTAAGTATGTGTATTGTATGTACTCTTGTAGAACCATCGTGTTCCAAAGTAAAAGTCGATAGCCTTTCATCTTTGGAGTAATTCCATGTGGAAATTACACGTATGTATGAAATTGTTGAAATGTTGATAAAAGTATAGAATGTATCATGTATATTTTATATTGTCAGATGTCCATATAAAGACGCCCGATGCCATTATATCAAAACGTGTACATAATTAGATTAAGCTAAAATAAGAAATAAAAGACGATTTAATTTGAATAATATTCGTATACCAACATGTTTTGCGTTCTTTTGGACACAGCAACAGTCTGGCGTCATATGGCATTGTTTTGCCTTTCGTAACAAAAGTTTCACAAAATACGTCATAAGGAAATTGTGTTTATAAGATTTGTAGTACTGAATCGTAAAGGGAGGCCGTTCTTTTGATTTATATACGAGATTTTTCAAAGGATAAGATCGAATCCTCCTTGTAAGACTGTAACATTAACAGCATTTATGAAAAAAAGTGAGTGAGTGGTTTAACGATATTCGAGCAATATCACGGGACACCAGAAAAAAGCCTCACACATTGTACCCATGTGGGGAATCGAACCCGGGTCTTCAGCTTGACGAGCGAACGCTTTAACCACTAGGCTAACCCACTGCCCTTTTGTGTAAAATGGAAATATTACTAAAAGTAATGAATGTATGTTGTCACTGGAGCCGCCGATAATCCAGTTATTTACGGTGGTCTCCATGTAATTGTATTATAAATTACTATCCTTGATTGGCCACGAATTTGAAGTAATTTGTATTGGCGGAATGACTTTAGCATTAAGAAAAACAATATCATGGTGTGTGTGTGTAAGCCTTCAGATGTCCTGTGACACAGGGGAGTTGGTATGGCTGGCGTCCACCTCGAGGAAGGACGCCCTCATGTGTGAATCACCAGCACGCGATAAGGACAGGACACCTACAAGTACTAGAAATATGTTTACTGTAGATAAGTCCATAGTATATATGGTCTGTCATGTCAGCTGAACAAAGAAACACACTTTCTGTACTGAAGTGGGTGTACAGAGTGAGTGAGATAAGTTTTACGCCGCTATAAGCAATATTCCAGCAAGATCACTTGGTTGACACCAGAAATGGGCTTGACGCATTGTACCTATGTGGGCAATCGAACCCGAGTCCTCCGCGTGATGAGCGAACGCTTTAACCACTAGCCTAGGGAGTGAGGGGTAGGACGAGCATGACTCCTATTGTAACTAACCACATTACATTCATGTACTGGCACACGTACCAAATTTCCTGTAATAAGCGCCCTGGCGCTTTTTTAGTCAACGAACTTCCAGGCCCAGCGCTTATTAGAGACCCTGCGCTTAATGGAGATCCGGCGCTTATTTCTTGAACAGTTGCTTTACCCCAGGCGCTTATTAGAGGCCGGCGCTTATTAGAGACCCGGTGCTTGTTAGAGGAAATACGGTACAAAGATAAACACAACACCAGGTTCTATACTCACATAGGTTTACTTTGTCTCAGTCAATCACTTAGTACAACTTCAACACAAGACAGGTATCCTTTTACCACAGATGGAAACTGAGTGACGTAGATTGGCTTCCGTCAATTGACTCGTGTTAAATGTATCTTGTTAAATGGTTCGAGCCTGGCCAGATCTTGATCACATGTTCCAACATATCGCTTTGTTTCGTTAACACTAGTACTGTATCTCACCTTGATCTCATGTGTCGTAATTGGAAAAAGACCGGACATCATTGATCGGTGACTCAACTGTCGCATTGGTTGTTTTTATGAGTGAGTTTAGTTTACGCCACACTCAGCAATATTCCAGCTATATGGCGGCGGTCTGTAAATAATCGAGTCTGGACCAGACAATCCAGTGATCAACAGCATGAGCATTGACCTGCGCAATTGGGAACCGATGACATGTGTCAACCAAGCCAGCGAGCGTGACCACCCGATCCCGTTAGTCTCCTCTCACGACAAGCATGTGTTACTGAAGGTTCATTCTAACCCGGACCTTCACAGGTCGGTTGCTTTTATGCAAGATTAATCTGTCTTTCGTGACGACTGTTTTCTGCCCTTTCCTTGTAACTCGGGACATTCTGTCACCCTAGTACTCCCAACCTTAAAGTACTCATGGGAATAACCGTAAATCTAAATATGGAATCTGATGTAATTTTCTAATAGTTTACTAAAGCATTTTACCATATAACAACGTTGTTTCACATTTTACAGATAACTTCTTTATCTCACAATATATATTATTTATTACCCACTTCGTCAGAGGTAACTGAGTTCATGTAAATGGTATGTCCACTAGTTGAAATATAACTCGCCCACAAGAACGCTGTGTCCGAGTAACATTACTTACATCATTTTAATCGTATTGTCACGTTGGGTCGGATTGACGTCGCATAATAAAGGAACATTGTTGACGTCATTGGGCAATTGTGATTTCCTTGGACGGCGGTCAGTAAGTAAGTAAGTAAGTAAGTAAGTAAATACTGAATTTAGGATGTCACCGCTCTCGTTTGGGAAATACAACAACTCAGACACGGCACACATTCTCGTTTAACGATCCCCAGATATGTGGTGGGGCTATCGCGGTATGATAATAATAATAAAAAAACACATGCTTATGATGTAGTTAGAATCGTACAGTGAGCTCTACTTAGAGATTCATGTTACAGAAATGGTTTTGTCGCTCTTGTTTTAAGGTCCACCGGTCTTGAATTTCACAAATACGGATTAAAAAAAAAGATTATTGCAGGGAAATGCATGCGCCACTTTTCTATACCGCAAAGCTCTTTACCTCGCTGTGCATGAAGTTGATCGAGTGACGCGTCTTGTCACGATTGTTAGAACTGTGAACCCAGTTAGGTTGGTTGGTTGGTTGTTTAGCGCCGCACTCAGCACTATTCCAACTATATGGCGGTTGTCTGTAAATAATTTAGTCTGGACGACACAATCCAGTGATCAACAGTATGAGCATCGATCCAAGCAATTGAGATACGAGGACATGTGTTAACCAAGTCAGCGACTCTGATCACCGATCCCGTTGGTCGCCTTTCACGACAAGTATGGACCCCACTTTGGCGGTTGTTAATTGTCAGTGCAAGTTGAGTTATGACAATTATGTATTAATAGAATAATTGTTGTTTTTAATTCGAATACCAAAACATGCGGTTTTGCTTTTTTAAATCGTATATACAAGAATTTATACAAGAGGGCGAGATCGATGACAGAAAAACATATTGGCCTAAATGGCCTACACTAATATAGTCATGGCCGCAGTATGTTAGAAATCAGTGTCCGAAGAAAACCATTGTCTCCCTGGAACAAGTATCCCAGGACATTATGTAGAGGGACCCATTGCCCCACAGACTAAGACCACTTCCACAATGGGTTTATACAGGTCCACAGCCTATCTTGGGAACTCTGGTTTGAAATTATACATACATTGACAGGATTTAGTGGATCGGACGGTCAGACTCAGTCACCTGATTGATCGTGAAACAAGGTAACAAGGTGTCCACCACTGGTCTGTCAAGTACTGATTCGAGTAATTACAGGCCGCCGCGTGAGTGAGTGAGTGAAAATGGTTTAGAGCCGCTTTTAGCAATATTCCAGTAATATCACAGCGGGGGACACCACAAATAGGTTCACACATTGTGCCCATGTAAGGAATCGAACTTGAGTATTCGGCGTGACGAGCGAACGCTTTGACCACTTGGCTAATCAAGCATCAAAGGACGCGCATCGTAGACCCTTTTCTGCTGATGTTCCCAAATGGTCACCAGCCCACGACGTATTAGTCTGGAACCTGGTGCCGGTACTCCGGACCGGAAGAACCCCGCCTCAGTCTCTGAACTTAATGGATCGAGTAAGCTCCATGACTTAACTAACGCTGCTCATAGCATCAATCACATGCTTATCAGATCCAGACTCGACAATGTTCACGCCGCCATAACACAGTTGTACTACACCAAAACAAAGCATAAACCAGATGAAATAAATTCGTTTAGGTGGTACAAGGGAAGTAACTCGTACGAGAGAAACATATAGGGAAGTGCAGTTAAATACTCTTGGCGGTGTGATATTTCTCATCCCCGAACCGCAATAGCGTCAGGCTAGGCTTAAGAAGTGCGGTACTTGCTAAAGGCAACGCTTTCGTTCTAAGTATTGACATTTTATGGATTAATTCAGCGGGCAATATGTCACTTGATGAAAATCAATGAAGGTATTACCGGACGTTATCCTAAAGCTTTAACACCAACTATAATTATAGCAATGAAATCGGTTGTGGTTAATTGCTGTGTTTAAATGTCTGTCATATATACTTTTCAAGCGCTGTTTTTATATTTTTTCTTATAATAATATAATAATAATTATAATAATATTTACAGAATACAATTTCTCCTTTCAAATATTCATCTAGGATTAGAGAATCAATATTATCACAGGCACTCGGTTTATACAAAAAAACATCGTCAGACTACCGGCAAAAGAAAGTTATCACCGACTTCACCTGACCAATATATAGGAACAAAGACGTAAGTGAGAATTATGACAATTATTTTACAAACAGAAATCATTTTCCAATAATTTGACTGAAAATTCATTGCAATGCTGGTCTTGCCTTTGCCGCAATCCATTAAGAAAGAGTCAAGGACAAAATAAGAAATTACACCGATCAGAGTTTATTCAAAAAGTGCATAAAGAGTCACATTATGAGACAGGAGACAGAGGACACTTCATCAGTAGTGAGTGTGACCACCCTGGGCATGCATACACGCCAACACACGTCTCCTCATTGACGTCGTCAGTCGGCGGATGACGTCAGCAGGAATCCTGTTCTATGAGTCCAAGAGAGTCTGTTCAGGTTTACTGGAGGTTGTACACGCTGTCTCAGCTGACGATCAAGATCATCCCAGAGGTGTTCAATGGGGTTCATGCCTAGAGACCGCACTGGCCAAGGCAATATGTTGACGTTAACGTTGTGCAGGTATTCTCGAACAAATCTGGCGGTGTGAGACCTTGCATTGTCGCGCTGCAAACTGACTCCTCTGTTGACGACTAATGGGCACAACACTTCATCCCTGTATCGCTGGACATGCAGATTTAATCGGATGATAACCAGTCTTGTTCTCTGGCCATAAAATGCCGCCCCATACCATGACGCCTTCTCCACCTAACGGATGAACTTCTTGAACGCAGTTTGGCGGCAGACGCTCTCCTCTATTCCTATACATTGTAGACTGCCATGTAAGCT